TCCTCCTCCTCCTCCTCCTCCGAGTCGGAACCCCCAGAGACGTCCGATAGAGACGCAAGGATCTCGCGCTCGTTCTGCGCGCCTGCATCAGAGTCCTCGCTTTCGGGTGCAGGTGCAGGTGCAGGTGCGGCCGCCTTGGGTGTCTTGGCCTTCTTGGTGGTGGTGGCGGTGGCGGTGACAGCGTCGGTGGCTGCCGCACGCTTCTTGCCGTTGGCCTTGGCGGATGGTGCAGCTGCAACGGGCTCGACCTTGGCAGGGGCAGCCTTGGCCGGAGCGGCCTTGGCAGGGGCAGCCTTTGCAGGGGCAGCCTTTGCAGCCTTGGTAGGCTTGGCCGGTGCGGGCTTCTTTGCGCCGGTGGCGGCGGTGGAAGTCTTCTTGGGCGGCATGGTCGGGGGCGGAATGCGATGGAGGAGCAGAGACAAGGCTGTGGCAGCCAGTATTCGAGAGGCGGCTGCTGCTGCTCCACACCAAATTTCGGGCGCCGAGGAAAAAAGTGAAGATTCCAAAAGGCGAGGAGGAATTTTTGGACCACCGAGAGACCCTGTTTGCGGTGGCTTCTTCTTTTCGCACGAGAGGTCCGAGTCTCGACGCTATACAATGTTAGAGTGCACACGCCGCTTGATCGAAGCAGCTGGAACACACGCGCCAACCGTGAATGGAAGGAATCTCGCCGAACGGGCGCGTCTGTGCGCTGTGTGGATGTGGAAAAAGTGGAGTTGCTCCTTCCTTCTCAACACTATCACTCACCTTTATCTCGCCAACCATGTCGACTGTCGTTCCCGAGATCCTGTGGGCCCAGCGCTCTTCCGCTGACGAGCCCGAGAAGAACGTGGTGATGCTCACCATCAACGTGCCCAACCTCCCCGCGCCACCCGCGACCAAGTTCGAGCTCACCTCGAGTGGATTCAGCTTCCACGCCAAGACCGGCGACGAGTCCAAGGGCATCCCCAACAAGGAGTACGACTTCAAGCTCGACTTCTTTGACGACATCGACGTCGACGCCTCCAAGACCTCGCTCACCTCCAAGAGCCTCTACGCCGTGCTGCGAAAGAAGACCGCACAGGAGGAGTACTGGCCCCGCCTCACCAAGGACAAGGTGCGCCTGCACAACGTCAAGACCGACTTCGACAAGTGGGTCGATGAGGACGAGCAGGACGAGGAGGCGGCTGACGCTGGCGCCGGCATGCCGGATATGGGCGGTGCCGGCGGCATGGATCCTTCTTTGATGGGCATGGGAGGTGCTGGGGGTCAAGGCTTTGATCTTCAGTCGATGATGGCTCAGATGGGCCAGATGGGCGGTATGAGTGGCGGCATGCCAGACTTCTCTGGTGAGGACGACGACGACGACGAGGCAGACGATGTTGTCGACTCGCCAGCGGTGCAAGAGGCAAAGTAAGATCGCGCGCGCCAGCCCGCGGCGACGTAAGCCCACACGCTGTATTAAAAATGCAAAATTAAAGACCCCTCCTACTAAGCGCTAAGGTTAAGGTTCGATTTCATATGCGACAGCGAGATGAGGCCCGGGAGTGCAGGTTCAGGCTACGATGGTGAGCTCCTTGGTGCGGTTGGCCGCGTAGGCGTCCTTCCACGTCTCCCAGATGCTGTGTTTGCCAGAGATCCAAACGTCGTCCGTATGTCAGTGATGCTGTGTTGAGCAGTGTTTGGCAACGCGCTGCGGCGCGGCGGCTACTTACTTCATGAGCTCTTCAATGTAGCGCGTCTGCACCTCTTCGATCTCCTCCTTGGTCGGGTTGGGGTTCTGCTTGACATGCACCGGTTTGCCCACTTCCGAAAGTCGCCATGCCTGAAGGTCAGTTCTCTCTCTCTCTCTCTCTCTCTCT